AATCCCCCATGCTTGATGCAACCCTAATCCCTGGGAAATTCCAAGGCTTTGGTATGTAATTCAAAATTACGTTAACATCTTCACCATTTAAAGATTTTATTTATTTATTTATTTATTTATTATATTTCTATACCGCCTTTCTCCCGTAGGACTCAAGGTGGTGTACAGTCAAGAAAAATATAGACACACAAACATCATAAAATTGCTAATTAAAATTATTACTTAGTTTGGTCAATTAAATAAAACCCAGAATTAGATAACATTTAAAAAATCATTCACATGTTCGTATGTTTAGTCCCGCCTGTTGGAACATCAGGGTCTTGAGGGCACGGCGGAAAGCACGGAGATCAGGGATATTCCATAAAACTATTTTTTTTTCCATATTTTCCCATAAAACTGCAAATACACATTAACTTAATATCCCCAAAAGATGCTAAATGATTGCTGGACTTTTCCTTCTAGTTGTCATCCTTATCCAGGCAAGAACTAAAATGAGACAAAATGTAATTTTTTAAAAATGCAAATCAGAATCCAGTTGGAAAGAATTTTTAAAATTATATGTAAATTTGTTATTCTGAACAAAATGGCTTAATGATTAAATATTTCAGTCTTAAACACAAAATACTTAAAATTCATTAAATTTTCATCTGAGTTAAATGACATTCAGTGTTGTTTCCAGGATTATGGTTACATCCTATTAACTGTAGCACCAAGATGCTTTGTTAACCCTTTTTAGAGGACTTACCCTCATAGATCTAGCACTAGACAAGCAGTGTGTTTTAAAATTTTTATAATATTTTGAAAGAGCATTAGAATGTTCTGTAAAAAATAAGACTGAACCTCTAATCTATTGCATCAAAACTGGCATCAGATTAGTGACTGCATAAAAATTTTCTGTTTCTTCTGCTGACAAGGGGTTTCATGTGTCTGCATGTTTGTTTCTATTACTTTGCAAAGAATTAATGTGCCTACTCTGTGCAATTTTGTAGACTGCATGGGTTACTTCCCATGCTGCCAGTCATTGCCAACAGTGCTATTCGCTTGCAGCATTTACTTATTGCTCCCACCCATATCAGCTCATACTAATTAAAAGATTGCACATTGTATACAGAGAGAGAAGAAGTGGGGGATAGGGTGAACAGAGACAACTCTCCTTGTGCACCTGGTCAACTCCATCCTCTTTGAGGCCCCTCCCTTTAGCACATCTGCAACTTTTCAGTTGGGCTAAATTTGGAAGTAGGTTTATTACTATACTTCTTAAGAAATAGCTTGATTGATAGGTCCCTAGCAAAGAGCAATTCTATACTGTGACTCATCCCATGGGCAAGTGGCAAAACCTTCATACCAGATACTGTCCTACTTTCATCCAACCGTGCACATCCCTTAAAGAGATAATTTTTCTTCCAAATCACAAGGAAAAGCAAGAGTAGGAAATTTACCTACTGCTTTTCTTAAATTGTCTCACATCAAAATTCTGGGACATTACTACTCACTGGTCTTGTTACTGAGGCAAATTGCTATGATTAGGTACAAGATGAAGAAGTTCTTCTGTTAATATAAAAGGCAAAACTTGCAGTTTTATCCTTGAGGGAATTTTTCTTGGAATGCATTTATCATATATGCTTACAAATAAGCATTTTACAAATAAGATTTTAGGTGCCAAAATACCCCCCCCCCAAAAAAATAGGTTAAGCTTATTCATGAGTATGATCATTTTTTTTAAAAGTACCCATAAATTCCATATATATTTCCTCACATAAGCCCATCCACCTATAAACTGACTCTTGATTTTTTAACCAAAATTCCATGGATTTTCCATGGGTAAGCCAATTGTGAAAACTAAAACTTACAAACATTTTTTTTTGGCAATTTTTTTTTTTCAAACTTAAAACATAAAATATAACTTTCAAGAACAGAGTCTCGATCTGGTCATAGATGGCTACCACGCTTATATTCCTTTAACAGGCTCCATTCTCAAATTACCATTACATCTTTTACAAATAAAAATTCAAAACATAAAAAAACAAGTTTTAACATAGATTCTAACATCTTCATCTAAACAAATCCATTATATCAATACAATTTTAATTTCAATTTCAATTTCAATTAATTTTAATTTCAAATTAACTTTCACTCACTAAAAAATACAAGGTGAAGAAAAACAAGATATAATTAGGATTGATATATAGATATAATATTTCAATCCTAATTATATCTTGTTTTTCTTCACCTTGTATTTTTTACCATCAATATCAACATAATTTTTGACAATATTCTAAGATCTTATTCTAATTATTTACCTTACAATTTTATCACCACAAATCTTAATTTCAAATTCAATACAACTCCATTTTTATTACACTTTATAAAACAAAGTTCTATCTAATTCTTAATCTCTTGACCCTTTTCTTCGAGTCTTAATATCTTAAACTTTATCAATTTATCTTTGATTTTATCCCACTTATCATCTATTACACTTTTCATGTTACACAGATTTATCACAAAAACCTGTTTTATTTAGTCTAATTTCCACCATATTTTCTTCCATACCTCCCTCTATTGTTTAGCTATTATCCAACATATTCTGTTTGACTGATTCCCAACATAGTCTCCTCCAGAACACCAACTATTTTTGGCTAATTTCAGTATAGTCTCCTCCAAGCCTACCACCATTATTGGCTGATTTCCAGCATATTATGTTTGGCTGATTTCCGGAATAGTCACCCCCTAAACTCCCTCCTTTGTTTGGCTGATTTTCAGCATAATCTCCTCCAGGGCTTCCACTCTTGTTTTGCTGATTTCCAGCATAGTCTCCTCCAACTCTCCTATAATTGTTTGGCTGATTTCCAGCATTTTAACTAGTTTCCAACGTATTTCCTCTGAGTCTCAAACTCTTATCTAGTTGGTATCCCTCCCTCTTATTTTAACTTTCCCTTAGCATATAATTACCTATTTTATGTCAGTTTTCCAGCATATTCTTTCAAGTTAATTCTCATTATATTTCATAATAATCATCATTTCCAGCATATATTAAATTAAATCACAATTTATCGCTAATATCTGTGTGTCTTATAGTTTGTTCAATAAAACCTTAATCCAGCATAATCATCAATCAAGCATTTGCTTGCAAATTAAAATTAAGACATATTACATCAAACAGTAAATTTTCTAGAAATTGTCTCACATTAATATATACTCTTTATTGTTTTTAACCACCTATATATCATCCTCTATTTTAATTGCCATCTCTTATTTTCTATTTTTATTACTCCAGAAATCTTCCTGTTTTTATCCAAAAATCATATATACCTTTAGGCTTTTAAACTTTACATTTCAGTTAATTACATTTAAATTTATCTACTTTATTCCTCCTTTTCTTCTTTTTCCTATCTGTCTATGAATGTTCCATTTCAAAGTTCATCTGTTCAAATTGAAAAATTCTGTATGTTCCTTTAATGCTTTTATAATGTCTGTTCCATTTGTGATACATCAACTTCCTATCTTTTGTTCCTATGCCACACCTAATTTTTTTTGCTAAGCTTGTTAATTTCCATTGTCAAATATCCAAAATATTCCTTCTTTCCTCTTAAAATCATCTGGGACAGAATAGAAATCTCCACAGTCCATAGATCTAATGTTAATTTCAAAATAATCCAGGGTAAAAAGCCATTTAAAATGTTTCTTTTCCAAACGGAAAGAGAAATCTCTTCAATCCACTCTCCTGCTTAGTCACTGCAGACTCCATGGCAATTTTGTAGCCATCCATCTGTCTTTCTTCATTAGCCTCGTTAACTTTCAAAGGTGTAAACTCCCAAAGAGACATTTCTCCAATCCGCTCCAAATAAAAACAAAGTCAATTTTCTGAATTATTAAAAACCAATTCTTCCAAGCCAAATTTAATAATTTGTTTCTGTTTTGGGTCTTCATTTCCATTTTTTTTCCTTTCAGTCTTCAAGCCCCACGGTTCTGTAGCCGCTGATTAAAATTTGGGGTCTTATTTTTTTTTTTAACGCCAAATAAATATGTTGTTTTGCCTGGGTTGGTGTCACTCACCTGGTTTCGAGATACTTGCTCTCTGTTCTTCTCTGCTTCTCCTCCTCTCCTCCAGCACAATCTTTGTTCCTGGTTGCCGCGGTTTTGGGACAGCCACCATGGCTGTTGTTCCACTGCCTCCGGCGTGAAGGGAAAGCCTCCAGCCCTGAGGAATCTGCCCGTTCCTCTCGGCCCCCCAAGGGGTCCCTTCTTGTCCCCCTGTCCCTTCAAGATAGGGGAGGTCTGAAGACCTGTCGGCGGCAATTTAGCAGGCGGGGGTTTGGCAGAGTCCACGGAGTTTGCCATTTCCCCGTCTGTGTCCCCGCGGCGCCAACCAGAAGCCCCCAAAACTTACAAACATTTTGAAGGTCAGTGCACAGATGGAGTTATACTCAAGTATATATGGTAAAATAATTATTGACATCAGATACTCTGATCACCAAAGTTTTCCTTAACCGATTAAATCTAACAATAGATAAAAAAAAGAATAGCATTTAGAATCCAGAAAAATCTGCACACAAAGACCTTGAAAGTTAAAAGCTAAACTATGTCCTTGAGAAACTGAACAATACCACAATACTGCAAATATTTCATGAGAAGCCTATTTTCTGTTGTTTTTGTTGTTATTATTAACTTCTCTATTTTAAAACAGAAGAGCTTCTTCTTTGCTGCTAGCACTTCAGTTCTCCTCGCTTTTGTATTGCTAATTCTTTGCTTTTGTATTGCTAATTCTACTTCATCCTATTTTAAAACTGAACATTTTTTTTTACAATTATAGACATTAATCCAAATACGATTTTTATGAGCTTTAACCAGGTTTCTGGTAGATTTATAATCTGCTTAAGGATTGATTGCTCTTTCTTACAGCAAAGCAAAGGGAAATTCTGAGGCCATGACATCATGAGGCAACTGTGTTTGAATTGGCAATACCAACCATTCATAAAAGAAAAACAGCATATACAAATGTGAATGAGAAAGTTCTTTATTTTTAAGCCTTACAGGAGGGCTGGATCTCATGCTGAAGAAAATTACTTCAAAATAGTTTTGGCTTCACTGCCCACAGCATTCATTAAATTCACTATGTTGAGAATTGCTGCTGTGCTAAATTTAGTGAAAAGGTGCTTTCAGTCAGCCTAATGAACATCACAGCTCTGAAGAAGGTGCTTGCTGACATTTCTTTTCTTCAAGATTTCTTTTTAGTTCTTCTATTCACTTGCACTCAATCAAAACTTCCAAGCTTATTCCTAGGAATTTGTACAGGGTTAATTGAAGATATTGCAAACTGAGGTAAAGGACAAACAGACTTTGGGGCAGATTAACTAATACCCACACATATGTCCCCCCCCACCCCCCCCCCCCCCCGTAAATCCCCTTTATTCCCTTTCTAATAGGACTAGACTTGAATCTAGTCTGAAATTTTCCCACTTTATGTATGAGGACAGCTAGCCAGAACTGCAGAACTGGAATAGATCATTCAAAGATCTGGATCCTAGTGGAAGAGTTACTATCTGTGCATTATTCTTGATTTCAACTATCCTTATTCTTTTCTCTTTACCTCATGTTAGAATCCCTCTAGCCTATAGTACAACACTCTATTTCTTGTTTTTTAGTTCTTATCTTCTATATTAGGAACATCATCTAGAAGGAAAAGGACTCATCTGAGAACTTTTACAAAGTTTATAAAGTTTAGTATCAAAGCACTGCTATGCAACTTGCAGCCAAAAATGTCAGTGCAGAAGGCCCCTAATCAAGTTTCCAATCAAGTAAAAATACTCTTATTCAGGATTCTGCATTCTATCTATTCTGCCCACTCCCCAATTTTTCAGTAACAATTAGCACCCCGTTCTTATGGAAATATTCAGCCCTTAATCAGTTTTTCCTCTTTTTTTCCAGTTTCCTCTTTTTTCCAGTTTATTTTATATGCACTTCTGTCTGAGGTAAACAGCAAGTTTACATGCACATGCGCACACACAGTAAGATGTTTAATGATTCCTCCTTCTTTTTTTTTTCTGCACCAACCTTGATTTCTTTATTGAAAAAGTTTTTCAAATACAAATGCCGCCCCGTTGCCTGTAAAGAGCCGCCTTTACATCTGAAAGGCGGCTCGAAAAACTCCATTTCCTGATGGAAATGTGAGTCTGAGCGGGCGAGGGCAGGTAGAGCCCTCTGCAAAGTCCCCAGAGTTTTTTTTTTTAACTCTTGGGGACGAGCAGGTTGAGGCTCCCTATTTCCCCTCGCCGCCGCTCCGGGCATCGGGAGCACTCTGCCTTTTTGCAGAGCTAGGCGCTGGAACCGGATTAATCAACGAACCTAACAGATGGATTTATTAAAAAAGATGAGACTTGGACTTGGGACCCTAAATTGCAAGTATCCTTAATGAATTTATAAGCATTTTAGAGTGAAAGAGAAAAAAAACTTTAAAATGGCGACCGCTGAGGCTTGGGAAGTAGAAGAAAGCCGAAAGTGAGAGTCCTTCCATAACAGATACAAAGTAGCGGAATATATAGTGCTGGCTACAATTTGGAAGAAAATTAGTTATTTTAAGTTCCTCTCTTCTTGGAGATTTGTACTTGATCTTGTTTGGGGGAAAAAAAAGAGTTTGCTGGCAGGATGGCGTTACTAATAAAGCCTGATAGACAAGAAGGCGGGGTGCTCCCCCACTCACAATTGTTTGAACAAGCTCTGAGCCTACAGACTCTGCAGAATGGTTTTAATTTAAAAGAATTTATTCAGGAGGAAATGGCAAAATATCATGAGACTGTGAACCAGAAATTTGAAAAATTAAGGCAGGAAATTAAAGAAATGGTACAACTAAAGTATGATAACTTGCAACAAAAGATTGTAACAGTGACTAATGGTTTTTCAGAAGTTGTTATAAAGTTGGATACAAATATTAAATTGCTAGAGTCTAAAATGGAGAAAATTGATGATAAGATTTATAAATTGGACAATAAAATATTAAGAATTGAAAAGGATTTAATAAATATTCAAGACAATAGTTTAGAAGTAAAGTCTAAAGAGGAAGCTGGTCACGAGACTTATAATGCAGAAGATATAAAGCAAGGAATTGAAAGAGAAGTTGTAATGATGCAATACAGGCTTACAGAATTTGCGATCAGAATCAGAGGCTTACAGGAAAATAACAGTGATGACCTAAGAAAAACATCTGCTCAAGTTCTGGCTCGGATCTTAAAGGTTCATCCTGAGGAGGTATTCTGTAAAATTGATAAGGCCTATAGAGTAAATTCTTGGATTGCAAAGCAAAGGCAACTGCCTAGAGATGTGGTGATCTACTTTACAGATAAAGAAATAAGAAATGATATTGTGCAAAAATCCTTTAATTCTATTCTACAACTGTATGGGAGAAAAATTTGGATATATAAAGAATTGCCACCTAAGATGTTAAGAGATAGAAAGAAATTTGGACTTTTGGTGACTGAGCTAAGAAAACAAAATATTTTATTCAGGTGGGATGTCCCAGTGGGGATAATAGTGAGATATCAAGGAGTAAGATATCAGTTAAATACTGTTGAAAAAGCGGAAGAATTTTACTACAAGGTCCTTAAAAAGCAAAATCAACAAGAGACAGAAATTCAAGAAAAGCAGAAGGAGATGGAAGTAATGAAGAAACAACAAGTTATAGAGGTCTCCACAGATGAGCCGCTTTTGGATTCTCTTTCAGAGGACTCAGCTGGATTATTTAATATAAGACAGGCGGTTCTGGACCCTAATGCAATGATTTATCAAGCCACAAACCAGCATGGAAGCCAATCAGTCGATATACAATTTACAGAACCAGAAAGATTTCAGCCACAAAAGCAAAACCAACAAGATCAAGTTATAGATCAGTATGAAAACCAAATAGTCGATACACAATCTACAGAAAGTAATTTAGGATGGCGATCCAACCCACAAAAAGTCAAGAAAAGAAGAAGTAGGTCTCACAAAAACAAAATTTTTTAAACTAAGCAACAGTGTAATGCCAGTTACTTATGAGAGGACTGAATATATGAAAAGATAATGGGCAAAGTATTGGTTTATTTTATCCTGAGGAGAGTGACAGATCTCTGCAGTGCTGAATTTTTTGGGATGTGAAAAAGGCCTTAAATCGAATGGTTGGAAATATCTTGTTTGTTTTTTGGATTTCTTGATAAATATATTACGTGTATGCTGAGTTACATGGCAAGAGATCTACTGGATTGGGGCACGCAGAAGATCTGGTTGTTACCCTATTATGGTGGTTGGAATTAATAATCTGGATAAAAGACACCTCTATAGACATTATATGGAATATAAATATAAAGTCACTCGGGTGGTTGTTGTGTTTTTTTTTTTTTCCTTTTTGCAATATGAAGATATTTGTTACTGATGGGGGCAGATGGTAATTGAAGATACTGAAAATATTGTTGGAATTAGGATGCGATGTTACCCTAACATGGGTGATGGAGTTTATCATCCAGTTGAAAGACATTACAGAAGATATTATATGGATTACAAGCCTAAAGTTTTTTTCTTTTAGGATTTTATTTACATAAGGGAATATTTTTCTAGTGGAGTGGGTAGAAGAATAAAGATATTAAGAACAATTATGGTAGTTTTGTAGGAAAGTGGGTGGAGATAGATTAGGTTATTGATTGTTTAGTTTAAAGAAAAGGGATATTATGTTTAGATGTGAATATATGTAAAAGATTTGAGTTAAGAGACATAATGATGGGGGGAAGGAAATGGGTAGCTAAACTGAATAAATGTTAAATTAGGATTTATTGTATGTCTTATAGTGGAAGTATGTTTTGAAATGTTATATCGTATGGGGGGTAGTAAAAGGGTAGATCATGAACGGAAATCGTTAAATTGGGAGATATAATAATATTATTATGTTAAATTAGGAGTTATTAGATAATGTTATTGTAGAATGTCATTTTGAAATGTATAGTATAAGGGGGATATGATAATATTATTAGAAAGAAAGGCGCATATGGGGATGGAGTAAGGGGATGGTAAAGTATTATATAATTATAATAGAATGTCACTTTGAAATGTATATTATAGTATAGTATAAGGGGGACATGATAATTTTATTAGAAAGAAAGGGTCAGCATATGGAGATGGAGTAAGTGGATGGTAAAGTATGATATAATCTGTTATGAATTTGGGTTTTATTATGAAGAAGTCAAAGGGGAAGGGGAGGGTGAGGGGGGTTAGGGAGGAGGGGGGAAAAGGGGGGGGGAATTTGTAAATGATTCCTCCTTCTTGAACCAGATGGTGCCTTTTGGCTGCATGAGAAGTGGTACACAGTTAACCATTAGTAGATTTATAGGTCAGCAATTTGTGACAATAAGCCTTTCTGTGAGCATTTTATCTGAAGTTTATGAAAACAAAATACTCTTTATGGCAGATTCTCAACCTCAGGATTTCAAGATGTGTGAGCTGCAACTGCCTGGATTCCTGGGTATCTTTAAGCTGCTAAATTTGAGAAACACTGCTCTAGAGGCTCTACTCAATGGTCCTTCAACAACACTTATGCCAGCTAACTGAGCCAGAAAATGACAAAATATAATGAAATCATGCAAAGGATTTCCTTACTCTTTAATCTTCTTTTTGTATATTAAGAAAATTGCTAAGGTTGAGAAATACTGCTTTATGGGATTATTTGGACAGGTAGACCCTTTGGAGTTGCAATTATTAACAATATCATATCTTCTGGAATATACAATGAGCAATACTCTTGATTATGTTCATATTGTTTTAATCACTTGAGTTTATATAGACAGTAAAGGGGTACTAAGATGCAGAGTTCATTTACTATATTTCTCCTGAAAGATTTGAATACTATCATACTGTAATACTTTAGAATACATATAGGTCTAGAAAGACCTGCACATAGACAGTAGCATAAATAGTTATTGATATTTTTATTACATTACTAATGAGAATCTGTTGAAGTTTCTGAATGAAATTATGTTACAGTCGTGTCCAACATAGATCAGTTTGATTCTAATTCTTGTTAGTATTGATATATTGCATTACTTAGTTTTTTCAGAAAATATATTTACTCTTTTATTGCAAAAATATTGTCCATAAGTTTAGAACTGTCCAGTTTGTCTTATCTTACATCATCAAAATCTCAAAATTGAAATTAAATGTGTGTCTGTGTGTGTGTGTGTGTGTCTGTGTGTCTGTGTGTCTGTGTGTGTGTTTTCGTAGATTTTCATGGATACAGGTATGCAAGTCTTGGCGTATTCAG